TATTTCGACTCTCTCTGTAATATTCTATTTAATGCAAGTTTAGAAGTGAGGGATAAGTGGGAGGAGTAAAGCTGGACCAGTCCCCTAATTTGGAATTAGGACTTACCCCCTCGCCACATCTCTTAAAAAGCAGCGTTTCTGGTCAGAAATCAAAAGCAATCTCCCAAATTGATTCTCTTATTTAATTCTCTAATCTCTTTTAGCTCGCAGGAGCAACAAATCAAAAGAAAAAAAAATCCACTCCCATTATACTTAGCAAAAATAAGGTTATGGGAAAATGAGAAAGCTTATTAAAAGAAATTTTAAAAAGCTAAACCTTTATGAAATAACCGGGAGCCTGACCTTGAGCAGAGGCTCAAAACAAATGCATAACACCTTCAGGAAAACTCTTAGAAAGACCTGAAGAAAACCAGTATGGCTAAACTTCAGGATAAAGGAGACCATTAGATGTGTGAGGGCATTCTTCAACAGTTTGAAGTTCTATCCAAATATAGAAAATAGAAATAACAATAACTTTTAGAAGGTTAAACACAAAATACAGTAAAGTAGGTGAGGAATAATTTCCAGCTGACATAAAAAACTGCAAAAAAAAGTCTTTTTCTTAAACACATCAGGGACATCACAGGATCAACCTATAAAAAAGCACACCTTAGAGAAGGTTACCCAAAAAACTAAAAGAATATTTTCTTTTGTGTTTTCAACAGAGGAACCTGAAAAAGCACCAGCTTAGAACTATTCTTCGTAGGGGCACATAAGATCTTTCTCAGATTGAAATGTCAGTATAAAAAGTTATAGACAGCACTGACAAAAGGAAGAACAACAAATTACAAGGGCTTGATGGGTTGCAAAATCAATATGGAATCGAAGCTGACAAGTGATCTTCACTTTTTGTGGAGGTAGTAGTTCCCGTCATTTTGTATTTGGGCAGACATGAAGGTGAGAAAACGGGGTGCCTGAAGCACCAGTGCAAGTGGATGTTTTGTTGATGTGACCTGGAGTTTCACTTGTTAACCTGGCGTGTTGGGGGTCACGAGGGAGACTAGGTACTGAAACAAAAGTATTAGGAACAGCTCTGCTGGGCAAGAAAGTGCTATGCTTTACCAAAATAAGATTGAGGCAGGAGTGACACGCAGGTTCAAAGAGGTCTCCACCTTCTGGAACGAATGGCGGAAGGTACAGGGACCAACTTCCTATGCACTGGTGGACTTCTGCAAATGGAAATGGAGGTCGAGAAACTGCAATGCTGCAAGACCTCTCTCTCCTTCCTTGGCATTCCTCTACTCAGCACTGGAGAGACCACATCTGGAGTGCTGGGTCCAAATCTGGGCTCCCCAATATAAGAGAGACATGGAGCTACTGGAGCGGGTCCAGCAAAGGGCCACTAAGATTGATTAAGGGACTAGAGCATCTCTCATATAAGGAAAGGCTGAGAGAGCTACAACTGCTTAGCCTGGAGAAGACTGAGGGGGGATCTTATCAATATGTATAAATATCTGAAGGGAGGGCGTAAGGAAGACGGAGCCAGACTCTTCTCAGTGTTGCCCAGCTACAGGACAAGAGGCCACGGGCACAAACTGAACCACAGGAAATTCCATCTAAATATAAGGAAAAACTTTTTTTACTGTGAGCATGACAGAGCACTGGAACAGCTTGCCCAGAGAGGTTGTGCAGTCTTCATTCTTGGAGATGTTCAAAAGCCATCTGGACACAGTCCTGTGCAACCCGCTCTATGTTGGACTAGATGACCTCCAGGGGTCCCTTTAAACCTCAGCTACTCTGGGATTCTTTGACTAGTTCAAAACAGATAATTCATATATAAAAGGAAACAGAAATATCAAGATGACCATGAGGAAAAAGACCGAAGGCATGCTGAGACTGTCATTAATAGAGGGATATGAATGCCGCGTTATAAAAGATGAAGGCAGGTGAGTGAAGAGAAATCAGCTATGCAAGTACATGAAGACCCCAACATTTTAGTGGCTGAAATAAGATGTGTTTGTTTTTCTTCTCCTGCTTTTCAATCATTTGCACTGCAGAGCAATCTAGGAACAATGTATTCCTAAGTATCCTTAATAGATTTATTTATAATGTTCTCTGCATACAGATGGAGCCAGTAGCCAGTCAATGGAGCCAGTAGCACATTTATTTCAAGTAATGATTATTAAAACTGAAAAAGGCTTCACTCTCAGACCTCATGGAATGGTTTCAGTTTAAAATGAGAACTTTACCCATTAAGTCATCACATATAATGTGAAACAGCTAGGTTAATTTTCATTCAAACAATGATACTCCAGTAAGAGTAAAATACTCAGATACTCCAAAACTAATTCTATCCTGTGTCTTTGTTATTTTACAGGATTTTTGAGAAATGTTCAAGTCTCTTGCTGTGCTTTTTACTCATTTGATTGCTTATGACAATTCCAAATTCAGTTTTCAATTTAAAGGAGAGTTGGAGTCAAATGGAAGGAAAGGGAGAGCAAAAACAAACAAAAAATAAATAATTAATAAAAAAATATTTGGGGGTAGGGAACGTTTCTCTGGAAAACACCTCTACTCTTCCTTCAAAAAAAAGCTAGCCACACGTAAGCAGCAGTTACTACTTTTCCTAGTGCAACTCAGGTGACAAAACAAGCTAAATTAAACACACTGTAGAGTCTTAACAATGGGCAACTAAGAAACCAATATAGATGTGAAATTAGATGCTCTGTACGCCAGAAATTCTTACTAGCTCCCTCTCTTAAATTTAACTCTCTCTCGCTAGCACAAGAGGTCTAAATACAGTGAGACACACAGTTTTCATATGGTGAGCTGGGAGCTGAGAAACACTGACAATCTTACAGCAGACCATTCTTCCACTAAAGGACACCTGCTAGTGTTCTTTTTTTCCTACAGATTTCAAGAGGCCTGGAAGAAAGCACTACCATACCTTTCAATATGTGCTTGAACTGAGCAAGGAGCTCTGTACATTCAAGCTTACTTACTAGCACAGAATTAAATGAGCCAGGCATTCTTATAAAGTACATTCTTCTATAGCACTGAAAATAGATCCCAAACAGTTTGGGGGTCAGTACAGACAGTATATACATGTGAATATACTGAAGAAGATATACCTTCAGCCCTTCCTCCTCCCATTTTTCCTTCCTAGTCTGCAAACCAGTACCTCAGTCTCATATCTCTATCTATAGCCAGTATTTTGCTGCTACCTTGTACCTCCTCACCTAATTTATGGTCTCATCCAAATCTTGCATTTTCCCCATATCCATAATTTGGCCACCGAAGTTCCAGAAAAGAAGTTAACACTTTCTAAGAAGGGCAACTCTTAATCATAACAAAGGGCAGAAGTTATGTGCCTCACTTGAAGAGGACAAAGCTAACCCTAGCATTTTAAAGAAAATGCATCAGTCAGAGAAAATAATATTGGCACTACGTAAGGATGCTCTGAGAAGGGGCCATCTGAAAAAAATAGTTTTAACTATTTTTTCGCTAAATATATGACCTAGTACTATTATATTCATACCTCTTATTTTGGTAGGCGAGGGTTTTTGTTTTTTTCTAATTTTCCCTACTTGAATCTTACAGTATAATAGATAAAACTGCATGTGTGTATTTCCATACAACAATTAAGCCAGACCACTTACTTGTGAGAGTTAAAGACTAGGTCTACAGTAGTTATTTATTAAACTATTTGGCCTTGCTAAAGGCAGTTATGCTAGCATCCCATCAGTCATCTGTCATTAACACCCGCTACCCTGCAGTAATATAGTTTCTTGAAGAACACTCCAGATATACCTTAACGCAATTTTAATTTTCTCTCAGAATCATACTTCAGCAAAGAACAGACAGACTCATAAGAACTTGTGTCTATTCCTTCCATCATGCTGGCTGGAAAACTGAACGTAGGGAAATGCTCTTGAAACTTCACTTAAGACTGAGTATTGGAGGTTTGTCCCAGGAGCGCTAAATACGCTGCAAGCCCAAAGTAAAGGATATTGGGGGTAAAGTGACAAGACTGGAATAGGTGTTGACAATTGACTGGCTACAAAAAATTAAGACATCTAAGAATCTGACAGAATAACTGCTCCTTACCTGCATTTTTTCAATCATCTCAAATAAGTCCACAGTCTGCGAAGAGAGAAAGGTAACAGGGAAATAATTTAAGATTTGCAGGAGCAAACACTATCTTCTGTGGTAATCCAGATACTGATGGAGCCAACAGCTTCTATGTTTTGGCACAGAAACTATTCTCTTGCTGAAGGCAAGACAGAATCTCTCTTCCTTTACTGATGGCATGGTCAATACAACTAGCTAAATTTTCATCTGGTCTTGTAAAAGCTTGACCTGGAACCTGATAGGGCATGTCTCAGGAATTTCTCTCTGAATAGGTCAAATAAATGGTTTGATACAATATAATATAAGAAAGGACTACATGAACAAGTTTAGGATTCTCACACAGAAGTCAGTAACAGTAGCTATAACATACAGGCACACAAACTTGCCTTTTTTCACTTCTGATCTGCACAACAGTTCAAGGCACGTTCCTACCCTGAACCAAAGGAACGTGAACCGCCTTTACCTTCTTGGGAATAGCAGGAGCAAGAGCAGATGGAATGTCTTGGGTCGGAGAGTCTATAACATCACTGACACAGCAGATCCCCTCATCAGACCTCCTGTAAGAGACAGAGGTAGAAGGGGCAGGCGGGGAGAAATCTTGGAGAACTCAAGATGCCAACCCTTACCTGCAGTGCCTTTTCTGCCTTCTGATGTCTTCTGCTCACTCATTTATCCCCAGATCATTTTTTGGCTATAAGGAAGCTGTCACTCCCATCACCTCAACCCAGCTAGAGATACGGATGGCTCACAGATCACTTACCACCTGCAAACGTCCTGGATATATCCCCAAAGAACTTGTGGCCCCTAGGTCTTTCTCTCTGCCCACATGCATTATTTTCCACACCCTTGTTCAAGTGCTAAATGATCTTTTCTGCCAAGTTCCTCTTCTAGCACAGATTACAGCAGAAGACAGACAGGTCTTATAGGAAGCTTTGGGACCAGATGGGGAAGAACGCTTGCAGCAAGGGAGATGGTGACGGGACCCATTCTCAAATCAGGTCCAAATGCCGAAATACTACTGCAGATTGCCATTTGAAATTTCCACCCATCTCAAAACTGAATGGTATTAAAAGAGCTAAAAGTTCCGAAACGTCACTGAAATCAGAACCTAAAGGACAGACCCAGTTGCCACAGCCTGGGTATTAGTCTCCAAGATGGGAACATCATAGACATTGTGCTAGAACAGAGCTAGTATATACTGCAGGAGAGAATCAGGCACAAATTTGTTTTACCACTGCTGATAAAGCCAGTGTGCCCGTTAGATGGGCTTCTGTCTGTACACCTTCTATTGAAAATGTATTATTATTTTGGCCACTACTGGAACAGCATGTTGCATGTATACAAACAGCAGCAGCCCTCATTTAATTTCATAGAAGAGAAAACAAAAAATTACTCAACTAACATACTGTAGTTTAAGAAATGCATATTAAACTACAATACAGACACGATCAGCGCTAGCTGCAGCTCTCCCACGGTGAGCTGATAAATTCCATGCCATTCACAATTTTTAAAAGAAGTCACAGTTGGGTTGCAAGTCTGCCATTTCACAGCTAAGGTCACGTAGGCAAGGATCATACATAGGCAGGGTGGGGAACAAAGCCCAGATTTCTAATATAAGAGACAAAACTTACCCACTTTGTAAAGCTATCATGAATATAGCACATTCAAAACTGGACTCCTCTGAAATCAGTTCTAACATAGGAGGCTTGATGTTATCCTCTAGTTGCTAGATAAAATGTGCAGAACTCCTACTGCCTCCATGCTAAGAGATCAGAATCTGTAAGCGGTGAAGGTTCAGGCTTTGAAATCAGTGGCTACATTCTCTGTTGTATGGTAGTCTAATCTATTTCCTATAATCTTGAGATTACATTTTATTACAAGCTCCAAGAATCCTCATGCCCACCAACTCTCTGACAATTTACAATTATTTTGGCTGCACCACTTAACTGGTATATGGACTGGTCTCGATAGAGATTAACATAATGCTTCCATCTCACAATTTTATTCTAAAATTAAAATGAAAGAGATCGGTGTCACACAGCTAAAGATTAAATCCATAATGCATATGGGAGTTAGTCTAAATAGCCTGAAATAAATAGTGGAATAGATAGATAGCAAATGTATTTATAAATGAGTGTGAGTGTTATATCAACACTTGCTTTACTTATTAGTTTTATTCATTTAGTTGGAGCATGTCTGGGGCAAACAGGACAAATTTATGCCCAACGTTTTATGTAAAAGATTTCCATTGTTTGTTTTAGAAAGCTGAAGGCTCTGTTCTGTGGGCCCTAAAAAGGTAAGAACTTAATTTGATAAACTCCCTTTTTTCAGAAACTTGCCATTTCCGGAGAAGGGTAACAATATGTCTTTTGTGCAACTGGATGCCCTGGGGCCTTGTTCCATACTATAGTGTTTTTCTTTTGTATGCCACTGGTTTGAATCCTGAATCATTCAGTAGAGAATAAAATACATACCTGTATCAAGGAAACTTTGGCAACTCTTACAGGAGTGGCCAGTCCTGCCATTCTCTTGCCATAAATTCACCTCTATGCTTTGGACTGACTGTAGGTCTTCAGGCAGCAACTGTTCCTTATTGTTCAATCCTAGCATAGTCCTCCTGCCAAAAGGACTAGAGCAGATGCCAAAATCACTGGCCTCATTATACATTTAGAGATGTTGTCAATTCTGTAATTATCCCAGGTTGGCAATGTGCAGAGGAACTTTAAAAAGTCAAGAGAATTATTTAGATTTCAGTTTGTCTTTTACAAAAAAAAAAAAAAAAGTCATATAATTTCAGGGCCATTGTAACTATTACTTGAAAGGTCATTTCTGAAACTTCTGGAGTTGCCTGCACTTGAATCTCTAAAACAACATCTACCGTGTAACTATAACACATAAACCTCGCATTCAGAGAGCAGAATACCACCTTTTGGGGGGGAAAAAAATTCTCCAGCTTGGGAGAAGGAGATATATATGTCAAAATATATTTGCTGATGCTTTATTTTTATGAAATGGCACCAAGAGAAAGTAGAGACCATGGAAAAGATAAAAGACTAAAAGGATTTTTTTTATTCTCAGCAACCACTGCATTCATTTTAAGCATGTATCCTAACTAAAAGCAGGCACTGCTGTTCTATTCCTAGAGACTCCACTCTGAATTCCACAACGGTGAGAAAAGCAACCCTTGCAGACCTCTACATCTCCACTGTTAATGCCCCGTATTCCTGTCCTGCAGCATTCCCGGCAGTGTCAGTTCTGTGATCTCCACACAGCTCTGTAAGAGTCATTCCTAGATGCTTACAGCTGAGCCAGTTCAATAGCAAAGACTCTGCAAATATTTGTTCTGAGAAGACTACAAATTGGCTTTGACAGATTTCATAAATCCTTTCACTCATCTTTCGTAAGTATTCCAGAGATTTGTTGCACTTCGAAGAGATAAGTGTCCCAAATCCTTGTATAATTATTTTCCTGAAAGTTCACAGAGAAGCAAGTATATGGCCATTATAAAAACTTTTTCTAATCTAGAAGTCTTCCAGTAGGAGAAAAATATACTACATGACTTGCAACTAACTGTGGGACTACAGTGAGTATAATAGCTGGGGTCCCAATCTTATGAGTGATTCTTGCAGTGAGGCACTGATATGTTCTTGGAACCATTCACCAGAAGGGACAGCCAATTCAAAAGAACTGAAGGCTATCTGAAGGTAATCTGAAACAAAAAAAACAGGCCTGAAGTGCTCATATGGAACATTTCTGGGCAATCGCTTCCCTTGAGCAACAGCTTCTGCTATTTCACTCCCGTGTTTCTCCCTTGGACTTACTCCACCAAATAAGATTTGCAGGTATTCAGTGAAGACAGCTAAACACATGACACTAATGACCTTACTCTAGTAAGTACCCACATGTGTAGAATCTACAGCATTTTATTTTGCTCCAAGTCACATACAGTTTCCTAAAATTCAAGAAAAGGAATTAGCAAGGTAGAACTAGGAAAAGGAAGTAACTATTACAGATGAAACACAGTTCTTTTTCAGCTTGCCCCAAACTTTTCTGCTCATGGACTCTGCTTCAAGTTAGAAATCTCACTTCCAATAGCAATCCTGTTTTCTGACTGCTGCTAAGGAACTATTTCCATCTAGCTTGAGAACCACTGTTCCAACTGCTGTGGTCAGTCCTTGCTCTTTGGTCAAGATTTCCTTTATCCTTCTTGTATCTATGAAAAAGATGGGAAAGGTATCAAAAAAGCCTGGATAAATCAGCTCAGCTCTCACTTTTAATCTTGTACTCCGCAACAAGGTTCTCTCCTGCATGGCAGGAGAAAGGCAAACTCCTGAGGGAAATGAACCTCTCCACAAATCCTCACTTCTACCTCCTAAGAAGTCCTAACTAGAGAATTTGTTTTCTTCCACTAAGGCAGGAGAAGGGGAGAGAAAAGAAAGTAACTCTTGCTCTCTCTGTTTCCTTTCAGAAATACTAGCACCCCTGCCAACCCTCTCTCCCACTCACCATCTTTATGACCACAGAAAGATTTAGGTGGGAATGGACCTGTGGAGGTCTTTGGTCCAATGCTCTGCTCACAGCAGGACTGACTTCAAAACCAGATTAGGACTTTCCAGGTTAAATCATGACTGCCACTTTCCACCTTCTTAGCTCCCCTCCCTTTCACACATCCCAGAAGAGCTCTTCCTGCTCTTGCAATAAGACTCGCATTGCGCAGAAGGGATCCACTTCAGCATTCCACCTTGAAATATTTTAAGCCATTCCCCTACCCTGTCCTCAGGCTGAAGGGAGGAAATGCACAGTGCAAGGCACCTGATGGACAGCCAGCCCAGTACCAGTACATACCCTCTGTAGGCTCCAACACAGAAACTGTGCTTTCGGGAAAACATGCTGGACTTCTCCACTAAAGGCAGCTCCCAGCTTTTCTCCTTGGGTGTTTCCTCTCCTCCTGTCTCAGCATGGAGAAGGGCACAGGCTTCCTCCTTGCTCCCTACAAAGACCAGTCCCTCTCCCCCGCCCCTTCCCAAGCTGTGCTTCAAATGAGAGAGACTGCAAAGAGCTCCTCACAGCTGGGACCAGGCCTGAATCAGCAGGAGCAGGAAGCTCCTGAGGAGATAGATAGATAATGATAGAGGGAAAGACAGGGGAGGAGAAGGAGGACAGACAGAGCAAGAGGAAGCAATGAGGGATGGGGAAGTCACTGCTCTCTCTCCTCACCATGGAAGGCTGGTTCCCCCCTTCCTGGATAGCCCATGGGACATGGAATAGCCTGCAGGAGGTCGCTGCTAGGATAGCAGAGCCACGGAAGGCTGACTCCAGATCTGTCAGTAGGTGCAATAGTACCAGCAAGGACACCAGAGGGGCTCCTTATTCAACTCTGCTTTAGAGTAAGATCTATCCCCAAGCTGCCTCTCTGTATCCAGCAGGACAAGTGGGCATCGTGTCAGTCCTCCACAACTTCTCATGCTCTTCAAGGGGAGAAGAAGAGGATATCAAGCCCACTAGCCCTTGATCTTTGGGGCAGATGTACATCAAATATAGAGATTTGGCACAATAT